GTTTGTTTTTAGATGTTTCACCTAGCTATCTTCCAAATATCGGCCTTTTATATTAAAAAATTTCGACCAGTGATAAATAGTTATGGAAGATAGTCAAAAAATGATTATAAGAAATTCACCAATTATTTAAAGTTTATAATTTAATTACAAGATTATTTATATATGAAGATTGCAAATTTTATTTCTGTATTTTAGTTGAATTTTATTATTGCAAAAATAGTAAAAAGTTAATTTTTATTAATTAAATTTTAATATACTCTTAACCAGTATTGTATATTTTTGATGTCCAAGCCTTTTAGAATGTCTGGTAGACTGTTCGCTTTTTTATCAGACTTATAAATCCACTTTAAAAATGCATACATATATGCAAAAAATAATTCTGAACAACTTTAATTAATAACTGAAAGTGGGTCACAATATATTATTTAAATTTATTTAGTGTCAAACTTTGACAAATTCTGTTCGAGTATTGTCCAAGTTGTCTGAATGATAATACTGCTCTAAATAGTTATAGTTGTATCTGAAAATAAGCTTCTTTATAGTAAAAAAAGTGTATTTATTTTTAGAAGAATATAGTAATCATTAATATTGTTTAAATATAATTTATTAATTATTAATATTGCAAATTAAATATAATTTATTAATTATTAATATTGCAAATTAAATATGATTTATTAATTATTAATTTTTAATTATGATTTATAATAACAAATTTTAATTAATATTGATTTAGCCACAGTTAATTAAATTAGGCAGAGCTAATAGTGAAATTGTTACTAAAATAAAGTATCGATTAAAATTTGAGAAATACCCAAAAATATTAAAAAAAAAGTTGCTTGTATTTACAATATTACTGGTATAGATATTGAAAAAGCTAAAGAGATTTTTGATCTCAAAAATATTCAATATTTGTATAAGAATAGAACTGTTCAGGAAAGTGTTTATTGTCCTTTTTTACAAACAAAAGTTTATAAAGAGATACGAAAATATAATAGTATCAAAATGTACCAATTCGTAGCTTCAGAATTAGCATTAATAACTTACTTATTAGTAGATTTTAATGATAATATATTCAAAAAAGTATTTGATTCAAATAAGTTATCATTAGATACTAATACTTTAAAGTAAGTATATATTATATATTATTTATTATATATATATCACTAACATCTGGCTATAACAACATCTTTTAAAATTTTGATTCTGTATATTTAATATAAAAATGCATTAGTATTTAAATATATTGGATTATTTTTTGAGATATTGGTATAGTCAAATTAATATATATTATTTTTTTAAAATATTATTACTAATGTTAATAATTAAAAATTTTAGTATCTTTGTTTTAGCATATAAAATTTCATGTAAATTTATTAATCCTATTACAGGATTACAATATACCGAAAAGCCAAAACTTGAAAAGTATTATCAGGTTTTAAATTATATATAGTATACTATATTTTATTTATATAAATTACTTATAAACTTTTATATAATTATAGTGAGATGATGATTTATCTGAATCTACTTATTTTATTGAATATAAAGATTTTAAAAAAATAAACAAGGTCATTGATATTTAAGCTTGTCTAGACAAATTAATATTGAATATTTAAAGCGATTTTTTCAAAAATATACATATTATAATAATAGAATTGCAAAAGAGGTACAGTATATATAATTTTTAAATTATTTAATTAATAGACAATTCATCTATCATCTGGAGAGAATCTGCAAATTTTATAAGTAAATTTTACTATTAAGACAAATGTAGAGAGATTTCTTCTAAAACTTTTTTTCTTACTAAGTAAATCACTTTTTGGCTTCTAACAAAAGTTGTAGAGCTCATCAAAACATATTTAATGGTAGTAAGAATGCTAAAATCGGCCTAGTAGTTCTTGAAAAATCTTTAAAAACATTTTGCTGACATATAAATTTTCATTAAAAAAAATTGATTTTTTTTAAAAAAATTTTATATATTAGCAAAACGTTTTTTAAAGATTTCTCAAGAACTACCAGGCTGATTTTAGTATT